TATAAGAATATATCCATTAAACTTTCCTATTAAGTAACTCATCATCTTTGCAGTAACTAAAAGATTATCCAATCAGAACTAGGTTTTAGGTCATCTGAGACATTAGAGAGTATTCAAATAAATATATATTAACCCTTAAAGAAATAATCTGCATTATCTTAAGAATGAAAGAAAAACCTATTCAATGTTTCGTGTTGTGTGCATTTGGTAGCCTGTACCAGATGAATTAATTCAATAAAGAAATCATGGTTTAGAATTTTGCAAGATCTTGCCAAGCATAAACTTACTTTTGAGATCTAAGTAATCCCTGTTTCGTATAAAACAACAAGATGTGTTTTTTTTTTCTAGAAAATTTTATTATTTTTTAACTATTATTTTAATTAAGGGTCATTCCAGCTGTGATCTTTACATCCGGGTTTATCCTGATTTAATTTTTGTGAGTGTAGGAGTGGTATTTATTTCAATAATTTAAGACCATAACTTTGTAGTGCCTACACATTGGATGTTGATGATAAGCTGTTGGTGTTGCTGAGACAGTAACGTACTTACCATTTTTATCAGTTTTATATATATATATATAAATTGTAGTAAAATCAATTTTGAATAAAAAAAATTACATTGAAAAGATTTGCCTTTTGACTTACGATTAAAGGTAAACAGGTTTTTGGTTTAAAATCGTTTTGTCATGTGTAAGTAGGTTTATACTTCTAACCTCTTTGAAACTTTCATTATCAAGGTAACATAACTCACTATTTTTTCCCCATTTGGTTGATATAAAGAACCAAAAGAAAATGTTAAGACCCATTTGTGGCATTTATAGTTGAGGTTAATCTCAGGGGGGGAGTATGAAGTGTCTACTGTGTCATACATTATTATGTAAGGGGAGTATGAAGTGTCTACTGTGTCATACATTATGATGTAAAGGGGAGTATGAAGTGTCTACTGTGTCATGCATTATGAAGTATGGGGAGTATGAAGTGTCTAATGTCATACATTATGATGTAAGGGGGAGTATGAAGTGTCTACTGTGTCATACTTATGAATTATGGGGAGTATGAAGTGCCTACTGTGTCATACATTATGAGGTAAGGGGGAGTATGAAGTGTCTAATGTGTCATACATTATGATGTAAGGGGGAGTATGAAGTGTCTACTGTGTCATGAATTATGAAGTATGGGGAGTATGAAGTGTCTAATGTGTCATA